ATACATATATATATATATATATATATATATATATATATATATATATATATATATATATATATATATATATATATATAGAGAGAGAGAGAGAGAGAGAGAGAGAGAGAGATAGACAGAGAGAGATAGATAGATAGATAGAGAGAGAGAGAGAGAGAGAGAGAGAGAGAGAGAGAGAGAGAGAGAGAGAGAGAGAGAGAGAGAGAGAGAGAGAGAACAATGCCACTATGATATATGTCACCACGCAATGGAATCAGGCTCTTTTCAGTTTTTGGGCAAGTGGAGTTATTTTTATCAATTTAAATCTTCTTCATCTGTCTTGATTAGGTCGAAAACAAAATCAATTTATCTCGAATCTAAAATATTTAGAATCGTTTTTGAGCAAATTCCTTGAAATGTATAATGTAGCAAATAATGTAGCAAAATAATAGAGCAAATGAAAGTGTCCCATGCACTTATAAAAGAGCCATTCCTCTCAATTGCCAGTCTCTTAAACCTCCCCTTTTTGGGGGTAGTTATCTCGTGTTTCCATTTCTCCATTCCATAGGTGTAGATTCTTTTAAATGAATTTTGATATAAGAGAAAATTATGTCCTAGCCTTCTTTTCCAATGGTCTTAAGTTTCTAGTTTCTCAGCGGGTGAGTCTGTCTTCTCCTCCACTTTTGTTACTTTTCAGTTTCATGACAGTTAATAACATTTCTGGCATGCTCATTCCATCTGCTGTGTTTATGTTCAATTCCTCCATTTGTTGTATTGTGTTAAAATAAAATTCATTTAGGTGGGGGTGGAAAAGGGGGGGGGGGGGGGGGGGGGGGTAAGTGGACACACAAGACAGGAACGACTCGACCGATTTTTCTCCTCCCGACAAAATATCGGGTCACGTCCGTCCCAATGGACACGCAGGCTGCGCCAGTGGCTGGCGATGATCAGTATACCTTCAGAAGAGAACGTTTGTCAAACAAAAGATAAGAAATAAGGGTAACCAGGTTGTGTGGCGTCTGCTATGGCCGATTAGACCAATTCTTGCCGCGAAGAGTTTGCCACATTTTGAGTATTTAAGAATTGAAAAGCCTCATTTTCTCATGAGGATGGGCGCAACTTGTGGCCTTCTCTTTTTATTCAGCATTTTAATTTTTTCTTGTACCTTATGCACTAATATCCTGTAATAGATCAGGACATAGGACACACAACAAGATAATAAAATGACAGTAAGAGTAAGTTAATTTTTTTTTAACCGTTTTTGAACCAAAAAAAAACAAAAAACAACCAACAAAAAAACAAACAAATAAACAAACAAAAAAAAGGAACACCCAACCTCCTTCCCCTTCCAATAAACACAATATAGCCCCCCTCCCCTTCTTTCAACCCCTTCCCCCCCAAAAAAATACAAAGAGCACAATACAAAATACACACAAACACACACACACAGGAAAAAAAAAAAAAGAGAGAGAGAGAGAGAGAGAGAGAGAGAGAGAGAGAGAGAGAGAGAGAGATAGAGAGAGAGGGAGAGAGAGAGAGAAAGAGAGAGAAAGAGAGAGAGAGAGAGAAAGGGAGAGAGAGAGAGAGAAAGATAGAGAGAGAGATAGCAAGAGAGAGAGGGGAGACAGAGAGAGAGAGAGGAGAAACACACACACAATATATAGAAGAGAGCCCCCATATATCCACCACGCACATGGAGTCCCACTGTATGAGATATTCTCCTCACACCCTCTATTGTGGCGCGCAATATATATGGGCCCCTCTCGTTATATCCGAAGCTCCCATAAGAACACATGCGCTGGATATCGCTGAGCAGACCCTCGATTTCGTAGACTCTCTCGACACATTTTGGATCTGGGGAATCGATGAATGTATAAATTACAAGTAACACAACAATATCTATCTATCTATCTATCTATCTCTCTATCTATCTATCTATCTATCTATCTATCTATCTAACTATCTATCTATCTATCTATCTATCTATCTATCTATCTATTATCTATTTGTGGTGGCCGAATTTTGCAATTCAAAAGGCTTTTTAATGGCTGTATCGATCGACATGCGGTTTTCGCAAAAAGATCCTTTAAAATATTTTCCATATCATGACGCTCTTCTTTTTTTTCAGTTTTGAGACAGTTTTGCTGCAAAAGGATACATTTCTTTATTTCGCCGATCGCTTTCATAGGCCGACGTTTCTGTCTCTGTCATTTTAGAAAACCTGCCAGGTTTGTTTATTTCAAGTCTTACTTCCTTTCGATACTATTGCGCATTGTCGGGCAATACTTAGCACTATTTTAAGTGTGCGACCCGTATATATATATATATATATATATATATATATATATATATATATATATATATATATATAGGTATATAATCCTATAATCTTTCTATATCTTATTTTGAAAAAAATTAACAACGGTTCAGAATCAATTAAAGAGTGCACAGGTATATTAAAGAATCTGAAGTCACTGTAGTTTAATTTTCAGTTTTTCATTAGTTTCGTTTAGATCTAATCTTGGGAAAGTCTGTCTTCTGTGACGCCATTGTAAACAAGTGAGGCTTCCGTTCACAAGTAGTTCGCACTGGTTCCACAATGGCTTGACGATTGATTCTTTTGAGTACGTTTGTAGAACAGGTACCCAGAGAGTTTTTCAAAATTCACTATAATTTTAATTTTTATATGTATATAAAGTCTGACACGCACAATATGAAATCAGCTGGACTCAGAATGTTTTTCGTCAGTATATTCGAATTTCGCTAATTACGTGTTTTAAATACCAAAAAAAACAACCCCCCCCCCCCAAAAAAAAAAATAAAAATCTCAGTAGAGTCGAAAAAGCATGACCTGAAAATCAGTTCGCTATGTGCGTCCTCGACTGCATTTTATACTACTACTACTACTACTACTACTACTACTACTACTACTACTACTACTACTACTACTACTACTACTACTACTACTACTACTACTACAAATACTACTACTACTACTATAACTTATCTACATGCCAGCAATCAAATTCTTCTTACTTTTCTTCTTCTTCTTCTTCTTCTTCTTCTTCTTCTTCTTCTTCTTCTTCTTCTTCTTCTTCTTCTTCTTCTTCTTCTTCTTCTTCTTCTTCTTCTTCTTCTTCTTCTTCTTCTTCTTCTTCTTCTTCTTCTTCTTCTTCTTCTTCTTCTTCGCCGCCGCTTCACCATCATAATGTCCACTCACCCAGTTTGATGTCAGGTCCAGGTGGCCCTCTGTCTCCCTTTGATCCCTTTGTTCCCCGGTCTCCGATATCGCCGGCTGTGAAGGCAGGTCAGGTTTTGTTTTACACAGAGTTTTACGGCACTTTGCAACACAAATAGGGCATGTAACTGGTGACTATTAGAGGTATTCCAAGATGCCCCCCCCCTTTTCCCATTACCCTCTCTCTCTCTCT